CATAAGGCCCGCGGGCCAATTCTGGTCCACCACATTATTTTTTTTGACCCGCCAGAGCTAGAAAAGCACATCATGGTTTTAAAATAAAAGCCTATAGGCCTATGCTTCTTTACACTACATCTCCAACAATGCATGTTGATTTTGTGTGACAAGTTTGATGGAGTAATGTGGGTTTCTAAACCGGATGAATTAAAGGGATTTATGTGATAAACATTTATGTGAATGTAGGAATAATATTTGTACACATTAATAAATAATAATCAAATGAGGAGTTATTAATCAAAATATTAAGGAGTGCTTACAACCGGCTCTTTGAGGGCCATCATAATGGTGAAGTGGCCTGGGGGGACACGTTTGACACCCTGACCTACAGGTTTATTCAACAAGAAACGATTCTCTCTTCACTTGAATATTGTCACTTACTTGGTCACCGGCGATGTTTCCCAGGTGAGCCTTTTCAGATCGAGGGTTGAGACTTCTGTTTCCCATTAACACACAGCATCATGTTTCACTTGTAATTTTATAACTCTGATAAAACAAATAGTTTCACGGCATTACAAGCCCCTTGCCTCACCGCCGTATCTCTCCCAGGTTTATCCTCTGTATCTATCTTTCATTACTGTGATGTGCAGGTTTGAATGTGACCGGCTGTCTGTTCTTCCCATCTATGAGCACAACTCATCAAATACAGAACACACCACCAAAGAAATTAAGAAAATCGCTAGAATAATCAAATTAAAGGAAAAATAGCAGATAAGTCAAACAAATAACCTGACATGGTGGATTAGATGCTCAAATAATACTGTGTTAAATTGACAAACAAATTAAATAATTGGTCAAACACGCATTTGTAGCCTAAATTAAATTGTATGACAAAAAATATTTAATTTTATTAATACATTGAACAGGGTATAATCATAAAAAACAGCACCCAATGTAACAACTATAGTGCCATTTTTCAATAAATCTTAAACCGGTGCTTGTAAACAGCTGACAGCGCATGTGCCGTTATGAGCTGTAATAGACAGTAGACTAAACCCCCATCCTATACACCCGTTATGAGCTGTAATAGACAGTAGACTAAACCCCCATCTATACACCCGTTATGAGCTGTAATAGACAGTAGACTAAACCCCCATCTATACACCCGTTATGAGCTATAATAGACAGTAGACTAAACCCCCATCTATACACCCGTTATGAGCTGTAATAGACAGTAGACTAAACCCCCATCTATACACCCGTTATGAGCTGTAATAGACAGTAGACTAAACCCCCATCTATACACCCGTTATGAGCTGTAATAGACAGTAGACTAAACCCCCATCTATACACCCGTTATGAGCTGTAATAGACAGTAGACTAAACCCCCATCTATACACCCGTTATGAGCTGTAATAGACAGTAGACTAAACCCCCATCTATACACCCGTTATGAGCTGTAATAGACAGTAGACTAAACCCCCATCTATACACCCGTTATGAGCTGTAATAGACAGTAGACTAAACCCCATCTATACACCCGTTATGAGCTGTAATAGACAGTAGACTAAACCCCCATCTATACACCCGTTATGAGCTGTAATAGACAGTAGACTAAACCCCCATCTATACACCCGTTATGAGCTGTAATAGACAGTAGACTAAACCCCCATCTATACACCCGTTATGAGCTGTAATAGACAGTAGACTAAACCCCCATCTATACACCCGTTATGAGCTGTAATAGACAGTAGACTAAACCCCCATCTATACACCCGTTATGAGCTGTAATAGACAGTAGACTAAACCCCCATCTATACACCCGTTATGAGCTGTAATAGACAGTAGACTAAACCCCCATCTATACACCCGTTATGAGCTGTAATAGACAGTAGACTAAACCCCCATCTATACACCCGTTATGAGCTGTAATAGACAGTAGACTAAACCCCCATCTATACACCCGTTATGAGCTGTAATAGACAGTAGACTAAACCCCCATCTATACACCCGTTATGAGCTGTAATAGACAGTAGACTAAACCCCCATCTATACACCCGTTATGAGCTGTAATAGACAGTAGACTAAACCCCCATCTATACACCCGTTATGAGCTGTAATAGACAGTAGACTAAACCCCCATCTATACACCCGTTATGAGCTGTAATAGACAGTAGACTAAACCCCCATCTATACACCCGTTATGAGCTGTAATAGACAGTAGACTAAACCCCATCTATACACCCGTTATGAGCTGTAATAGACAGTAGACTAAACCCCCATCTATACACCCGTTATGAGCTGTAATAGACAGTAGACTAAACCCCCATCTATACACCCGTTATGAGCTGTAATAGACAGTAGACTAAACCCCCATCTATACACCCGTTATGAGCTGTAATAGACAGTAGACTAAACCCCCATCTATACACCCGTTATGAGCTGTAATAGACAGTAGACTAAACCCCCATCTATACACCCGTTATGAGCTGTAATAGACAGTAGACTAAACCCCCATCTATACACCCGTTATGAGCTGTAATAAGACAGTAGACTAAACCCCCATCTATACACCCGTTATGAGCTGTAATAGA